CCCCTTACAGAGCATGTTGGGTAACATCCTTTGCGTGTACTCTGTCATTGCGGAACGCTGCGCTTCGGTCTAGACAAAATTTGGAGTGATAGATGAGTTCGGTTGATAATGATTTGGTTGATAAACATTTTGTGTTAAAATGACTTTCTGTAACAGGACTTGGTTAGGACAGTTTTGTTTTTCACACTAGATTTCAGATGAGATCTGACTTAACTACGTCGTCCGAACACCTCAGGGATGGGTCTTCATATACCTCTGCTATAGATCATAGTAATTAGGTTCCTGAGCAAGTGTTTTTCCCTCTCAATGGATCGTGTATCTTTAGTTGTTTTGCTAATACTTTTAAAGGAATATTCTTGGTTAATACTACTGAAGCTCCAATGACAACATTTATGTTATGCTTTCGATTTTCGATTACCACAGTAGATAATTTTACCCATTCATCTTCATCTATGTAGAAAAGTAGCATAGCATGAGCATGATTTAGACCGGTGGTTCTGAACCTTTTTGACATGAAGTTGTTTATGATTAAATTACAATTAAGGATAAGGATTTTTTTCTATAGGATAAACCCCTTGAGATGTATCATCTCGCAAGGGGGTCCTAACACAAAACTACAAAACCGTTTTTTTGGGTTTTTTTGCCTTTCATTAATAAATATTATCATTATATTATTTATTATTATTCATTATTTATACAATATTATTATATTTCAAAGAAAAAAAAGCTTTATAAGGGGTTAATAAAGTAAGAAATATCTTGATTTTTAGCTGAGTTAGCTTAATTTAAATTGCTTGTTTTTTCTTATTTTAAATGAGGCCCCCTTGGAAGTTTGCTATGCCCTCTAATGGGCCCTGCAGGCCTCTTGGTTATAAACCATTTATTTAGACTATTAAAGATCACATTATGTTTTATATGCTTATATTTGTGTACTTAGAAGTTCATTGCTGTAAGTTTATTTGTTTTTAGAAACTGATGGATGTCAGAATAATTTTCTGTTGTAATTGGCACTTTGCCCAAGATGCTGTTGATAGAGCTTACATTCAGGGTTCTCATAATCACAGAAAACCTGGAAATATTAGAGGGTGCTGTTGAAAATATTAATTCCCAGGCCTGGAAAATTCATAGAAAAGTAATCGTGTTAAAAGTCATGGAAATGAGTTTTTTTTTTTTTTTATGGACTCTCGGGAAGCTGAATCCTCAATAAGTTGCCATTTCAAATCTCAGGCTTTTCTTTTACAACTTTTAGAAACTTCTGTATATTGTTATATTTATTTAAGTCTGTTTATCCCAATAATTGGTACCTAAAATAGAAATGGAAATCTTCGTCAAGAAAAACATTTATTAAATGAATGTAGATATAGGCTACTACACTCTCAGAAAAAAAAGGTACAAAAGCTGTCACTGAGGCTTGTTCCATCATGGACTGGAACAAAATCATGGAAATATATTGATTTAAAAAGGGTGGTAACCCATTTATTTTGCTTTTCACCCAGCATATTTGTTCATCCTGTCTAAAGCTTTCAAATAATATTGCTGCAAATGTCGCTAAAAGTATATCCAAGTCAATCAAGACTATTTCAGTTAGATGTAAATGAGAACTCTCAGCTCTGAAAGCACTATTGAGTTCTTTCCAAAGGCGAGAATAAAGGCTTTTGAGAGGCTGTTCCATCTGCTGGTTTTGAGAAATCTCTGATCCTCAATGTTCACTGGCCTTTTACTCTCCCCAGAGAGAAGCAGTGATTTGCACATAGCTGGTATGAACAGGCGCAGGTGAAGCCCTCATCCTCACTAGAATGCAGAGGCAGTGAAACTGTACGAGATGCAATTAAAAATCCTAATAATAAATCTTCTTTGGCGCTGCTGCGTTGACTGTCACACCATCGTGTGGCACGGTGGCTGTCTGATGAAGTTTAAATAATGATACTGTACACAGAGGTTAAAAGTTGGCAAGTATGCAAGTGGTGCAGAATTTACACATTTGTAATGCAAATATTGGTGTTATTGAACAGGATTATTTTTGAATCTCCCGTGCCTGGGAGTCTCAGTATGCGTAGATAATTATGGAAGATATTGTGTTCCATCAGATGGAGTTGTCAACTGCTTTGCCAACAGCTTCACACGTCTCTTAATGGCATATGAGATCTCTGGAGAAGGCACTTTATCTCACCCGTCCATATGTTATATGCTGCCACTGTGCCGCTGAGCGCGAGCTGTCGTCTCAAACAGACAGGCTTTAGATTGGACTGGCTCCCTCCACTCCCACACATTTCACCTACATCTTTCCACAGCCCCCTTGAGTGGAGCGCTGCCAGTCTCCCTCGTTTGCCTTCCAGCACTTATCCAAACACCCATTAAAGCATGTCTGTTTACACAGTTGTATGCTTGTTTGCAGAGCAATAAATAGAAGAACAGTTTGTTTCGTTGTCTATGTTGAGCTCGATCCCAACCTCTTTTGTTCATGGCTAGGGCGAGCCGATGTAACTAAAGGGATAATTCACCAAAAAATTACATTTCTGTCATCATTTGATCACCCTCATGTCATTCCTCAATGGTTTGACTTTCTTTTTTCATAAAATGTCAGTGTAGGTTTACTTTCCAACTGAATCCTAATAGCGTCTCCTGATTCAATGTTTAATGGCAAAAACAACATTAAATGAGTTGGTTAGTAAGTTTGATTTAAAAAAATGTAATCAGTTCTGTCTGATTAATTTAAAAACTTTCTTTTATTTATTTAGTCTACTCTTTAACATATTTTATTAATATGCATTGAAATGTTTGGGGTCTATAATTTTTTAATGTCTCACTCTCTTATGCTCACCAACTTCACCAAGACTGCATTTATTTTATTTTGCATATATTTTTACAAAAATACAGTGAAAACAGTATTTTCTCTTTTAATATATTTTAAAATGTAATATATTTCTGTGATGGCAAAAGCCTGTTTTCAGCATTACTTCAGTTTTCAGTGTCACATGATCTTCCAGAAATGATTCTAATACGATTTGGTGCTCAGAAAAACTTTTACATAGTGTAAGTGTTAAAACAGTCGTTAACATTTTAATATTCTTAAATATATACATAGCCGTTTGGGACACTTTTATGCCCATTCACTGCCATTATAAAGCTTGGAAGAGCCTTTTACATAGTGTTAGTGTTAAAACAGTTGTTAACATTTTTTTTTTTTTTACATTTTAATATATTTTTAAATATATACATAGCCGTTTGGGACAATTTTATGCCCATTCACTGCCATTATAAAGCTTGGAAGAACCAGGACATGTTTTAATATAACTAAATTGTATTTGTATGAAAGAACAATGTCATATACACCTAAGATGGCTTCAGGGTGAGTAAATCATGGCGTGATTTTCATTTTTGTGTGAACTAACCTTTAACTCAAGCTGTTGAACAAAAAATACGGTTACATTTGTGCATATAAATTAAAATGATACTTTATAAACAATTAATAAACATTTAATCTACTTGGCAACTTGGTGTAAATGGTTGAAATGGTTTTAGCCATTCCGTGGCAAAACATGTATGTATGCATGGATGTGTGAGTGTATATAAAGAACACTATGAAAGAGATTGAACATTTATTTTTTCAGCAATCTCTATTCACACCAACTTGGCTTTTTTTTTTTTTCGCTCTTTTAAAAAAAAAAAAAACATCTTTCTATCAGTTCTCTGTTCTCCCAATCTCCTGATCTTACCTCATTCAAAGAGCCAGTGTTTTTTTCTTTCTCCCTTTTGCGTTTTCATCCTAACATTGCTTTAGGCTTATAGCTTATGTGGAAAATAGTCATGGGCAAGACGACTGTGTTCAATAACCAAGCGGAGATGCAGCAGTCACACCCGTCCTCTTGAGACACATTGCGTCACTTTCTTCTGCGTCTGTGTGCTGTTAATTTAGTCATGCGGCCTGGGAAAAAACTCAAGTACGGCCACAATCAGCCCAGTCGCCTGATCTAGAGTGACATCAGGGCGGGCTGACCTCTGACCTTGAATCCTGACATGTTCATTCTGTCTCTCGCTCTGGTCAACCGCACAGCAAAACTGTCAGCCAGAACTGATTGATGAAGCTTAGCGAAGGTCTAAATGATCAACTAATAGACAAGGAGGACTGTTAGGCTTTTTGTCAGTAATGTTCTCTGACAAGTGTTTCCACTCATTGGTATGTGATATGTGACCATTCCCAAAATGCACTCTTCCTGTGTTCCTCTGAAAAGTATAAGGCTTCTAATCACTCAGTTCTTACTTTCAAAAAGCACACGTTTGCCCCTATAACAGGGTTGATTTGTTTGCTCTGACAGAGATTCCAATAAGCTTTCTGGTGTCATTTTTCCCCATTTTGAGGTTGACCCCTTTAAAAGAGGTGGTTTGCTGGAGCACGAGTAACATTGTAAACCAGTGTAACGCTGCTCTCTACAGGCAGTGTGTGGAACATTTTACACATTTGCTCTTCAAATCAAAATATTCATTCTTAATATAGTCCTCTGGTCTTATTGTGCATGTTATAGCATGCTATTTCAAAGAAAGATGTCTCTGAAACAACTGATTATGGCCCAGAAATGTTTGAATCTTTTTGCCATTTTGTGGCAATGTTTGTCCAAACAATGGTAGACCATTTTGGAGACCATTTTTATTTTTACAAGTTCGTTTGGTGCTGCTAGTGATGCAGAAATTGCTTACACAGTGGCATTGAATGACTCCAATGTGACTAATTTTCTTATGAACGGCATCATTGTCTGGAGTCTATTTTTGTGAGGTGAACTGGTGATTAAATAAAGAAGAGGAGCGAGTTTGTGACTCTCTAAGGGCCATGTCTATTCCTGCAAGATGTGAGGGAATATGTAGTCTTATTTTTTAGAAGTCCCATTAAAAGCGTTGCTCATTCCCGAAGAGAATCTTTGTTAAAATGAAGAGGACCTGTTTTTGTGGTGATCCTTTCTTGTGGCAACCCATTCTGAGATGTCTTTTCTGTCCCCTGTGCACAGATGTGAAGGGGCCGGCAAGCCACCACTTCTCCTGCGGCCAGTCGCCTTTCACGGAGCCCTGCGTTTGGGAGAGGAAGTACTGCATCCTGACCGATAGCCAGCTCATCCTGCTCAACAAGGAGGAAGAGGTGAGAGCGCTCCTTCCCTATGCTTTATCCCCTCATTCTTCTCTCTTCCTCTCCCTCAGAATGAGGAGCGAGGGATGGTTCAAAAAAGACACGCAGATGATGTTTGTGCTTTGTTGTATGTTTCCCCTTTTGTGGGTTTAAGGGATAGTTCACTTTGAAATTAATTTTTCATATGTTTTAGCTTACCTCAAGGGCATCCAAGATGTAGGTGTCTTTGTTTCCGCAGCATTTTCAATTTTGACATTTTTTTGGCCAAACCGTTGTTGTCTGTCAGTCATATAATGCAGTTTTATGGGGTCCACCTCAAAGAGCATGCACAGAGAAGTCCAAATTAAACATGATTTAATGACTCGTAAATGTAAGTACACATTGATGGCCTAAGACACGAAACGAGCGGTTTGTGTGAGAAAACGAACAGTATTTATATAGTTTTTACCTCGTTAACAGCCGTCGAACTGATCTGAATCAGAAGTCCAGCTGAACCGAACTGAACCGTCTCCAGACGTTACGCAGGAAGTGATCTCTCGCGGGTCTACGTCACACATTGTTTACATGGAGATTTCGTAAGTTTTACCCTTCACTAAACATATTTAGATATACAGGAAATCGCAATGGAAGACTTTTTCGATATATCTAAATATGTTTAGTGAAAGGTAAAACTTCCGAAATCTCAGTGCCCTTGAGGTAAGCTAAAACATATAAAAAATTAATTTCAAGGTGAACTATCCCTTTAAATGCATCTCTTAAGGATGTAATTTATTGACCTGAAGGGAATTAGTTTTCCAAACGACATTCGAGTTATTTATATATGATTGTGATTTGAATAAAATCGCAAAGCAAATTGAACTTTTTTCCTAAGGAAAACTAGTCCCATCCGAATTGTTGTAAAGAGACTCGTTTTGCGATTTTTAATGATTTGTCCTCTTATGTACTGAATTGCAGCGCATCACTGTTTCTGTGCAGGACAACCGGTTTCACCTTGAGGTTATTAAAGGGAATAATCAATTTACTCAATGTATTGAAATGGTTTCTGATTGACAGATTGCTTTCAGATTCAGTTTAACGGTTAGTTAATTAGTAGCAACGTTAGGGAAAAAGACTTTCTTACCCCGCTGTTAGAATGTGTACCCCTGCGACCTGCACCTACTGACCTCTGACTTGTTCCCAGAAGCCATCTGAGGTCCATGAAAGCCCCACATCATCCTCATCAAAGGGCCGCAGCCTGAGAAGGACAGTCAGTGTGCCCTCTGAAGGGCAGTTCCCTGAGTTTCCACCAGAGGGAACCTCCATGTTAGGTAAGATCCTTGTGGTGCTTCTGTTAAGATGGCAAAACTGCACTGTGCACTCTTTCAGGCAGAACAACCATACAGCATTTTAATAGGGTTATCATCAGATGATATATTTAAAGGAGCATTTCACCCGTTGGAACATTAATCTTTATTGTAAGTGGGCCATATATGTAGTCAAAATGCAAAATAAATTGACCGAGGAAAGACAGAAAGTAACTTTAGGGCGCATTTGGATGAAAGACAACATCTCCCACAATTCACCACATTGCACAGCCACTCCCACTAATCCAGAACAGTGCCTATGAAGTATCCGCCTATCAGAGAAATCACTCTCTGGTCTACAAGGCTAGCTACCACCAGAGCTTGAAATTCATATCACACAAAATTTCTAGTTAGTTAGCGCGCGCTCATTAGTGAATTACTCCTCATTTGTATTTCTTTCGAAATGGTGAATTATTGCATGATACCGGGATGTTCAGTCAGAATATATGCGGTGCGAAACTAGGATCGTTCACAACACAAACGTCCATGTTCTCGTCTGATTCAGAGATTTTTGTCCAGGAAAATTGGCATTGTTGAAATTCTTTGCAGCAGATGGACTCTAGTGAGAGCCCAGGCACCACCAGTCCGCCTCAGTTCGAGCCAGTCCGGGCTCCTCGTCCGCGACAGGCAGCCGCCTCCTGTTCCTCCATCAGCCTCAGCTGCTCTTCACTATGCCACGAACATTCGAGCATCAGACTTTCAAAATCCTCTTCTTCCATATCATATTGAGTACATTTCGCCATTGTCGTAACTTTACATCTGGCTTCACAGCGCCTGTTAGCTTAGCTTACAAACAAGAGGATATTGGAGGATCTTGTTTTTAGTTTCTGCAAGTGAAGTCCGACCCACTGGTCTGTAATAGGTCTGTAGCGTGAGTGGGCCCCACCCCATGGGAAAATGAGCAACGAATGTTTGTAGTCTTAGCCCCTCTTCCAAAATATGTGGTTTCCTGCTTAGAATGACGTAAAATGACAATTTTTACATCTTTATAAGCAGGAACTGCAACACTGACATTCTTATTTCTCCCATCTCAGGAAAAAATTAGGGAATAATGCACAACCATTCAAAAATATGACTGGGTTTCTAACGATTCAAAGCTTAATGCAAATGGGGGAAGTGTCCCTTTAATTGTTCATGCCCCTTTCCACCTATTTCCACATTTAGATTTCCTTTGCTGTCATCTAACATGCAAAGTTTATTTTAAATTTAACATTAACATTTGATAACATTGATAAATGACAACATTTTAAAATGTAGTTTTTAGCAAATAATAATTTACTGTTGTATTTACCAAAATCGTTTAATTTTTTGATACAAGTGTAATATAGAATTTTAATACCAGCCATGAATCAGTTATCAGACAAGATGAAAATCATTATTGGCTTAAGCTGTTAATAATCGATCAATATTGTGATATCAATATTCACCGTAGAATTTAATATAATTCATGTCTTGTTTTCTGAGGAATAAGTATAGTATATAATTTTAATTTTAAATATCTATCAGTTATTGGATGTAAGCTATAATCAATCATTTTTATATTGGTTTTATTTTTATTCTGAATGCATTTTTTGTTGTTATGCTTAGAATATTTTTTTTTTTGGCTAGAAACTTTTTGGCAGTCTTTCAAAAAATATTTTAATAACCTTTATGCAGTAATCACAAGCCATTGGACCGGTCATTGATCAAAAGGTGTGGAAACGCTGATTCAAACAATAACATGACCTCTAGTTACTTTTGACAGAGGTTTTTTGCTCTGTCTATAGGGTTTCAAATACGAAGCTTATCCCAGTGGATCAAATGGCACACTTTTAGCATTTACTGTAGCTTTAAGATGTTGCTAAGCAGGCACACTCACACTGCAGCTTATAGAATACGTATTTGCGCACTAGCAGGCAGAGCATGAGGTGAATCATGAACAAAATCACGTCAGTAACACCGGGGCCATTACTTCGACTACCACTGCCACAAGCACGGAGGATCAGGATAACAAAGCAGTGGATTTAAAAGGCAACAACGCATTCTGGACTTAGGGAAACATCAGATTGGGGGCGAAAATATGCATGCTAAAAACTGTGGAATATTTAGCAAAAACAAAGATCAGTTGTACTGCAGAATCATATGCATAACTCTTCACATATACACACGCTGCCCTCATTGTTTCTACATGACATCATTTTGTCGTGCTTTTGTCAGCGATTACTCACTCTAATGTTGATCCAAACCTGAATAACTTTCTTCAGTGAAACACAAAATAAGATATTTTGAAGAACTGTTTTTGTTCATGTAATGAAAGTCAATGGGGTCCAAAACAACATTGGACCTCATTGACTTTCATTGTATGAACAAAAAACAATGAGACCTTTTTCAAAATGTCATTGTTTGTGTTCCACAGAAGAAAGTCAAACAGGTTGAATGGCATGAGGAAAATAACATGCTTTCACAATTTAGATTTTTTTTGAATTAACTATTCCTTTTAATGAAAACCAAAACTGAGTCAAAAAGCTCCCTAGTCCCTACGCAATTCAAACTGGTCTGAAAGCAGTTTAATTCGGGGGAATTTTTAGTGGTTGTAAGAATTATGATTCACATCCCTTCTCTCTTTTATTTCCGTCTCATTCATCCCTATTTTTTTTTCTCATAACGTTTCGTTATGTTTGAGTAACTTCGTTACGTTTGGATAGATTTGATCCCGCGACCTCTGTGGGCCGGGCATGCTTGTGCGAGGAGGAGTATAGAGGAATGTAATTCCATGGAACAAACCTCACGGTTGTCAGTGTGTTCGTTTTCTTTCTGTCTCTCTCTGCGGACAGGGGGGGAGTGTTGCTTTCCCTCACAGGCCTGGGGAGGGGAGGGGGCACAATAACTGAATCTGCCCTCTGGCTCTGACTGGTCTCGCATTCAGCACCAGTACGTGCGGGGGTGCGGACACTGACCCAGTGGGCCGGTTGCTAAAGGCAGCAGTCAGAGAAATGCACAAATCTCTGTGACTAAGAGAGTCATTCATTCTCCAGACCCTCCTAAGCTGCACCGCCACGGCTTCAGAGAGTGAGAGGAGAGGGTTATTTATATGTTAATGTTCGCTCGGTTTGACAATGAGGAATTCTGTGGCCATTCAGAACACGTTGAGTCTCGAGAGGCTGTTGAATTCACAGTTACAAATATTTAGTGAGATCATATGTGGTTTTTAGTTTGTTTCAATCTATGAATCATTTTTTTTTTCTTTTGTTGCAATGAGGAGAGAGCTATCACTTTCTGAAGCTTCAGCTCCGTCTTTCTCACAGTTGTCAAGACAATGAGTTTCTGACTTCTCTCACATAGCAAACAGAGATATTTATAAATGTTTGGATTGTTGATGTTGGTTTTCATTGTTCACACACTTGCACACAAGAGGAGAAAATCTGATTTAAAAGATTTAAATTCCGTTTACTCACCTTTATTCCTAACTTTGGCTTGCTTTCTTCTGCGGAACACAAGAAAAGATATATTATAGAATTAATGTTTTAATGGTTTTCGTCCATGCAAGTAAATGGGGTTCAAAACAACATTGGACCCCATTGACTTATATTGTATGACAAAAAGTTTTCTGTGGAACACATATTTAAAAATAAATAATTAAATAAGTCAGCATAAAAATATGAGCATAGTAAATAATGAAAGCATTTTAATTATTGGGTGAGCTTTCTTTTTTAAATCTGATATTTGAAATGATTACATCCAAATGTTCTGTTTAAACTCTGGGGTAAAAGTAATGAAGCATTTAATAGAGACTAAAAAAGAATAATGGATATCTATTTTGGTAGATGAAATCCATCTCATTTTATTGTTAAATACTAGCTAATGTCAAATTGATTTTCCTATTAATACGTTTATGCGAGGATGTCTCATCTTTTTACAGATCTACTAATGTTGTTCCCAAAGTCTATTTTCCATAAAGGTCTCTGTGCAACATTTTTTTTTAGTATTTTATTGAAAGAAAGAAAAAAAAGAATGAAAATAGTTCAGTGAGCAGTGTCATGGGGCATGGTGTCCTGGAAAATTCACATTTTACGTGGTGGGTGAGGCAGATCAAAAGTATTTCCTGGCATATGTAGGCCAAGAAAAACTGCTACAAGTATGTTGATAGCCGAATATCTTTGTTTTGCTCTTTGGGGGAAGCAATGTATGGAAGCTTAAGGTTAACAATATTCGATTTGAAATGTAATCTGCAAGATGACTTTAATCTTTAATAGCAGATACTAATATTAAATCTGATGCATAACTCATTCTTATGGAAGCTTATGGGTAGCAATATTCCATTTGAAATGTAATATGCAAAATGGCAATGTATTTCTGTATATAAATGTACATTTTACATACCATGTGTGCAATGTACATGTGCTATTTACTACAGTAGTTTTAACATAATTGAAACACATTTTAACGTTTTATAATTTGTAAAATGGAAATGTATCACAGAAATAATAAGATATGTTTAACATGTTTACGCAAAATAGCTATATGATCATTTAAATGTTCAACTTTTTTTATTGTTGTTTATGCATCAATTGTAGTCCTATAATAAAAGTAAAACTATGTCCATCCGGATGCTGATACGATGCTGATGCCAAAATAACATTAATAGAAATATACCCTAATATATAAATAAATATACCCTTATAAACCCTTTTGCACCCTAATAATTTTTTTATTTATGAAATTTTTATTTAAAACTTCACAACTACGAACATTCTACAAAAGCTGTCATGAAACAAAACTCCTGTTCCAGCAGATCCCAAAGGTTCTCCATTTGGATTGAGCTCTGGTGTCTGTGGAGGCCATGTGAGTATATTGAACTCATTAGCCCCTTTCACACAGCAATCCCAGTAAAATACTGTAAAATTCCCAAGAATGGATCTCATTCATGAAACATTCGTAAATATGAGAGTGATTTGCACATAAAGAGACCTTCCCGTAAACTCATC